TAAAACTTCTTTTGGAATATTGAATCATTTGAAAAATATAAAAGACATGGATCGTCTCCCCAGTAAAATATACTCAGAAGAAAAATGTCTGCATGCCATGTCAAAGGTTTTATAGACTCTCTTCTCCTAAGGTTTACCTTCCAAGTCCTTAAGGCCATTTCTCTGCCTCAATTTCCAGCCCTCTTCCCTAACAGCACAGGGAAATTCTACAATATGGACCACTAAACTAGATGTATTCTGACCCTAGAATGACTTTTACAAAGTGGTTGTTACTCACCTATTGATGTGAGCTTTCTTTTGTCTACCCTTTATCCTAAAAAGCTGAATTAATTAATAACATTGTGTCTTGTTCTGGTTAATCAATATATGTGTACTATGACTAGGCTTTTTGTTTGTTTGTTTAAGAGCAGCACTAGCTCCCTCCTCAACTCAGAGGCTCTGAAGCCAAAGTACATTATGGAACATGGCCAACACACTTGTAACATGTAACAAACTTAGGTCATGATCAAGGAAAAATTTAGATCCTAAATAAATCTCTTTATGCTACTTCAAGCTGACCAGCCTGAGCTCTTTTGAAAAATTGAGATGACCACAAGATTCCAGCAGTGCCAAGGGCCAACGGCTCCCCTAGCTGTCCTCACCAGGAATTGTTGCTCATTCTCCCACTCCTGAAGAGTGACAGATCCAAAAGAGGTGAACAGATAGCATACAGCAAGGTGTCAGGCATAGAGCAAATACTCAACAAAAGAAGGAATCACTACTCTTCTAAGGCTCATCTACTATCCCACTTACAGTCTTCTCTAGTATTTGCACAGTTGTCATATGCCAACCTCCAAGTCATTCTTCAAAGTCACTGAAGACTTTTGTACCTGGCCCAGGGTTCAGTCTAAGCCCAGCTTCTACTACAATCCTGGGTTACTATAATAGTCATGTAAATGATCATCTGACATCCTAGCTTCACAGGTATATTAACCACTTTAGTCTTGAAGTCTAACACTCCAAAGTCTACTGTGATTACAGGTCCTATCACTCCAGTTTTCCAATTACGCAGTCCTCGCCTTGTTCACATTAAAGTCTCTTTTTGGCCCAGACTGGGGCCACTCCTGACCTTACTTCCTTCCATGTCCAGTTTAGATTTTTTTTTTTTTTTTTAAACAGACTAGCTCTGTCACCCATTCACCCAGGCTGGAATGCAGTAGGCAGGATCTCAGCTCACTGCAACCTCCACCTCCTGGGTTCAAGCAATTCTCCTGCCTCAGCCTCCTGAGTAACTGGGATTACAGGTGTGTGCCACTACACCCAGCTAATTTTTGCATTTTTAGTAGAGACAGGGTTTCACCATGTTGGCTGGGTTGGTCTTGAATCGTGACCTCAAGTGATCCGCCCCCCTCAGCCTCCCAAAATGCTGGGATTACAGGCGTGAACCACCGTGCCTGGCCTTAGTTTGGATTCTTAAATCCATTTCTGTATAACTCCTCTCTTGCTAGCTATCCACCCGTCAATCAATCAAGGCAACGAAACACTGCTTGTGACAATGCCCCAAAACCATTTTCTATTTTCCTGAGTTTCTCACCCAGTTTCAAACTCATTTCTTACTTTGATATATCATAAACTCTCCTGTTAATGGTCTCACTCCAGTGTTTTGTCTTGAACATTCCTTAGAGACTCTAGTTCATATCCAGCCCTCTAGTCTTTCTGTTCCAGAAGCTTTTGTCTCCATATTCCTGTTCCTGGTCAGCGTCCTCCCCATCACCCACCTCTACAATTACAAATCTTCACTACCCTTGCCAAATCCTCTTTCTTAAGCCTATCCCTATCTCTGTGCTCCAGCAAAGAGGTAGTTCCAGTTATCTAAGGCTAACCCTCCAACTGCATGTGTTCTAGAGCCATAAATTTCACCCTTCCAGCTTCACCTGACTCATCTTTCAAGATCTTATTCCATCTTCTATTATCTCTTTCTTCCTCACATCTACAATTACCTCATTCTCAATTCCTTCTGCCCATGGTCTGCAAACACACTCAATTTTTTTCTCATGTTAAATGATTCACTGTAAGGCCCTGAAGAAGTGGTTTTAACTTGTGTTCTGGTTGTCATATCTACAACCAGAAAAGCTTTTCACTAAATAATGATCAAGTACACTAAATAACATAAGGAAAATATGAACCTGGTGAAAGGTGAACAGGAAAGTGGAGGCTTACCTGTCAGTGCAGGTAAGGGGATAGCTGGGGTAAAGTTGAAAGGGGAAAACTTTAAATATCGGCCACAGGAGCAAACCTCAGACTATGAGGATGAGGTTTCTGTTCAGACAATGAGCACTCTGGTCCAACCCAAGGAGCAACTAGCAGCAATTATAGTAGCAGCAGCAGCCATGCAACATCAGCAAGTAGCCAAGACTAAACTGCAGGCATAGAAATGAAGTATTTCATAGAAAACACAATAGCAAATATGACATATGAGGCGCTTGTGCTGCTAATCCCCCTTCTTTCACCCTCAGCAGACATCACTAAATAGTTATATCTCTCTTTCACACTGAGATAAGACCTGGCTTCAGAATTTTTTTATAAAACATAATCAGGGCAGGCATTCTCAAACAATTGGAGATGGTACTTGAGATGAAGTGTAATTTGCTATCATTACACTACACGGAAAAGTTCTCAACAAAAGAATTAGAAGACAGGAATAAGCATCAGGAGTAAGCATTCTGAAGAGAGCTTGGACGTTGTTGGCAACTGGCGGGGACAAGCTGAGCCCATGGAGATCACAGAGCAGGCGCCCAATTAATGTCTGTTGATGATTCATTTTTTCATTCAACAAACATTTAATGAGGCCTACAATGTGCACCGGATTAGGCACTGCGAATACAAAGATGAATAAGGCACTGTCCTTTCCCTTAAGGAATTTAAAGTCTGGTAGACGAGAGCCATAGACACGGACAATGATAATACAACCTGCTAAGTGCTAGGACACTTAGCAGGTTGTATTATATCCATCCGAGTAGGATTTCTTCAGAGGAGCACCACTCCAGGTTGCTGCTGGATCCATGAAGTCCTCCTAGGCACCAGGATTTGCTGTTGTTTTTGTCACATGTTGGGTGTCCCAAGATCTAACAATAATAGCTGTAATTAATGTATAGAGTGCCTATGACAAACACTTAACAAAAGTATCTTCAATGGAAACTCTGAAAATTAATGGTTATATTAAAGGAAGAAACTGAGGTTCAATAAGTTTAAATCACACAGCCAGTAAGCAGTTGAATCGGGTTTCCAATCCAGTTTTGACGAAGTCTAATGCATTTTTTTTGTTTTCAGGATAACCTTTATTCAGGTGTAATACAAAAACTTTTCAACAGCTTTCTATTTAGAACTAAGAGCAAAGGCAATAGATTAGTGATTAGAGTATGGACTGATTTCATTTGGTGTCCCACTCTACCTGGCAGAGAAATAAAACGTGAAGTGACCTCACACTTGCATACCATTGAAAACTTTGAAGTCAGTTACTGTTTTTCTTTCTCAACCCTAACATCACTGATCATTCACAATTTAAGTACGTCTAGTCAAATCTCTTATTTTAATACTTGTCATAGTCAATACCATTGTCAGAAACAATAGTTGATACAGCATTTAGCATATTCCAGGCCTGTTCTAAGCAATTTACATAATTAGTCCCTTTAAGTCCTTACATTTTATACTCCCATCATTGAAAATAAATATCATTCCTATTTTACATAAAAGAAAACAAAGTCCTAGGGAGGTGAAGAATCATGTTCAAGATCACATTGGTAAGTGTGAAAGCAGATCTGAGCCCAGGCTACCTAGTCCCAAGGCCCAGACTTTCACTTTACATAGCTCTGCTGCACTGCTCAGAGCCTCATTTCCTAACTCTTCCTCCCTTGACTGCCTTCCAAGATGGCAAGTTTACACAAAACCCCCTGAAAAACCCAGTACTGCTCACGTAAAATTTCCTCACTATCCATTCTGGTCATAGAAAGACATTCTCTAAATCCTAAATATCAGTACTCAGAGCCTTAGTTGGAAAATTTCCCAAAGAACATTGATTTTATATAGCTTTGAGAAAAGAGAAAATAAACACTGGATATGTTTAGGTTTTTAATTGTGGATTTTTTTTTTACTTGAGGTATAGCCATAAACATTTTCAGATCCGTAAGTCAACTAATGCAATTAAGCCAATAGTGGCCAATAATGACAAAGGCCACTACTTCCTCAATTGAGTCTTTCATATAAAAGTTTTCACTTTTGGTTAATTAAAAAAAAAAAAAAAAAAGAAAAGAAAAAAGAAAAAAGAAAAAAAAACACCCTTGGGAGATATACGACAGTGAGAGCTACTAATGAGAAGGACCAGCAACTTAGCAATACCATAAAATGTCTGCTGCAATTCAGATGTCTCCCTGAGACTCAACATTTCATATACAGCTGTTCCCAGAAAAGAATCTTGCACAATCTGTATAGTCAAGTCATGGTCCAAAAGGAGTTAATTGCAACATTCATTTAAAGAATATGACAGTATTTTTCATCAAGGTCAGGGGTAGGAGTAGGGGGATGCATATTTGTCAAAGTCAGAATGCCTTGATTTTTCCCTCTCTTGTTACCCTAATTTTTCTATAAGTTCTATTATGTCTATACAGTCATGTGCTCCCTCACAATGTTTAGGTCAATGATGAACCTCATATATGACAGTTGTCCTACAAAATCATAATATCACATTTTTACTGTACCTTTTCTATGTTTAGATATGTTTAGGTACACAAATACTTACCACTGTGTTATAATTACCTATAGTATTCAGTACAGTCATATGCTGTACAGGTTTGCAGCCTAGGAGCAATAGGCTATATTATATAGCCTAGGTGTTTACTGGCTATACATTTAGAGAGGTTTGTGTTAATATACTCTACGATGTTCACATGACAAAAATCACCTAACACATTTCTCAAAACATGTCCCCATTGCTAAGCAATGCATGACTAAATTTTTATACTAAATTTTTATAACTTCTTAAGAGATGATCCCCTCTTCGCCACTCCCACTCCTTTCAGCCCTACATCATTTCTCATCTTAGTCACCATAGTATGCTTCTAACTCATCTCCCTGTCCAGATTGGAAAACATTTCTGAACATACTCCACATTACTGACAGCGATCATCTAAAAGCACCCCTTTTTGAAAACACTAATAATGAAATCCAAATCCCATAGCATACCATACAAAGTCCTATTACTGGCCTACATTTCCAGCCTAATTTCGAGAACTATTTGTAGTTCCCCTAACTCATCATACTACTTCCAATGTCCACACTTTTGCTTAGAAAGCCTTTCCCTGTTTCTCACCTAGTCAAAAGGTGACTTTATTTCTTTAAAGACTCAACACACATATCAGGGATTCTGAGCTCTGGCATTTCTAGACTCTGTAAAATGATTTTTCTTTGAACTCCAGAGTACCTTGTACATACCTCCATTGTAGAGAATACCATACTGTTGTATTTATACATGTACGTAGATGTTGATCTCTCTCACTAGATTGAGAACTCCTTGAGGACAGGGACTGTGTCTAATTAATCTCCATATTCCCATTACCCAGCACAGTGCCTGGCAGCTCAAATGACAGTAGAGAGGAGAGATGCTGAATATGCAGGAGTGAGAATAAAGCAATGTACTTGAGTAATGGTACAATACAAATATGCTGAATGAATTGAAGCTATAGAAAAACATATTTTGGCTCAATATTGTAAAGAGGTCTCAAAAGAAGGGGTCCTCCCATCCTGGAGCTTCTAAATCTATGATCTGTGTCATAGTCAAGAGAGCCATCATTCTGAGAACGTATGTCACAAAGTGAACAGTGACTCCCACAGCTGTGGACAAAGGCTAAAAACAGATCACAAACTTGTAACTCATTCAGTTTGGTGTGGTGGTTGACACCTATAATCCCAGCACTTTGGGTCGCTGAGGTGAGCAGATCACTTGAGCCCAGGAGTTTGAGACCAGCCTGGACAACATGGCAAAACCCCATCTCCACAAAAAATACAAAAATTAGCCAGGTATTGTGGCCCTGTTCCCAGTTGACCCTTGAGCCTGGAGCAGGAAGTATTTTTGAGGCCAATAAGGACCTCATGACCTTAAATATCTTTTACAAGCTGCTACCTAACGTTTTAAGCTCCCCCTTAAACCTTTGGTGCCTTTCATTAATGTTTGCTAAAATGCCACTTAATCTAATATGTTGAGCTTGTATCAATTAACTTTACATTACATAATTGATACAAGGAACACACCACCCACTCCCATACCACGAGATCATCTAATCCAACCCTCTTCCCTTAACACAAATCTAAGAACGTCGACCAAATATCCAGATTTTTAACTTTGGTACTCAGTTTCTTGAAGTGCAAAATACAGAAGTTGTACTGAGTAATTCCCCAGATCCCCTCTTCTCATGATATTCTAAAGAGCTTCTGAGCCTGTTTTCCACCTATAAATTAGACATATTGGTGAATCTGTTCTTATTCCTAACCAAATTGTTACAAGGGTCAAATAAAATCATGTTTGTAAAAAGCTTCTGGAAACGATAAAGCACAAAAATAAATTAATTAACTAAAAAAAAAGATTAAAGGTCAGGCTTGGTGGCTCATGCCTGTAATCCCAGCACTTTGGGAGGCTAGGTGGAATGACTGCTTAAACCCAGGAGTTCAAGACCAACCTGGCCAACATAGCCAGACACCAGACACCATCTCTACAAAAAAAAAAAAAAAAAAAGAAAAACAAAGAAACAATGAAGTGCTATGCAAATTTAAGAGAATTAAGCTATATGTGTGTTGGTGGGTGCTCTGCCATTAATTAGACATTACCTAAGAAAACTTACTCTACCTCTCTAACATGGCTCAGAGAGTTGGGGTGTAAAGCAGCACACTCATTTGCCAATTGAGACCTTCACAGAATCTCTGTAATAAAAATGACCTTCAAGTGCAAGTAATCCAAATTCTCATTCCACCCAAGGAGATTCTCAAGTTCAATTCTAAGTGCTCATACAAGCCTCTAGGTGTCACTTCCAAGAGTCATCTTTGGAGAGTCCTTAAAACTGATTTTCTATTAATTAGGACTGCCTTCAAAAACAGCAAAAGACAATGGTCCCTGACCCAATAAGAGATTTGAAAACAGACAGAAGACAACAAAGCAAAGACAAATTCTTCTTTTTGGAGTTCTCCTAAAATCTAAACAGCTCTACTTCCTATGATGCCTGTAATAAGATCTACATTCAGATCCCCCTCTCCATATCTTGGATGTTCTCCTCCAACTTGCTCTCAAAGAGTTGCTCTTAGAATGAAAACAAAACTAACGAATGGGACAGAATTCTTATCTTCTTTGGTTTCAAACACTTTTTCCTTTTCTTTTTGAGATGGAGTCTTACTCTGTCGCCCACGCTGGAGTGGTTCGATCTTGGCTCCCTGCAACCTCTGCCTCCCAGGTTCCAGTGATTCTCCTGCCTTAGCCTCCCAAGTAGCTGGGATTACAGGTGGTGCTACCACGCCCAGCTAACTTTTGTATTTTTAGTAGAGATGGAGTTTTGCCATGTTAGCCAGGTTGGTCTCGAACCCCTGACCTCAAGTGATTCACCCTCTGCGGTCTCCCAAAGTGCTGGGATTACAGGCCAGCTGGCCCTGAAAACTTTTCTTTGTTTCTCTCTTTTTTGAGACAGGGTCTTGCTGTGTCTGCTAGGCAGGAGTACAGTGGTGTGATCTCGGCTTACTGCAACTTCCACCTCCCGGGTTCAAGCGATTCTCCTGCTTCATCCTCCTGAGTAGCTGGGGTTATAGGCATGAACCACCCTGATCAGCTAATTTTTGGTAGAGATGATGTTTCACCATGTTGGCTAGGCTGGTCTTGAAATTCTGACCTCAAGTGATCCACTTGCCTCGGCCTCCCAGAGTGCAGGGATTACAGACATGAGCCACTGCGCCCAGCCTCGAATACTTTTCTAGTAAGAACATAACCAGATATACTGAAGGCTTTGAAAGTCTTCAACCAGTACAAATCCTAAAAAGAAGGAGCACCAAGTCTACAGGAGCTTTCAGGATGGAGAAAGTCCTTCCAAATGGGAAAGGAGGTCAAAGGGATGCTGACATTACTGAAAACAAATGCCTTCTGATGTCATTTTTCTCAAATCAGCTCTCACCTCTGGACTTACCTAAACCAGAAATACAGAACATTGTAAATAATGCAGGATGCTCTTCTAGGAACATTTAGAAGAAATGGTAAGATCAAACACAAAACACATTTTGAATGACATTCCCTACTGATGGGCCCTAGTCTATGCAGATGACATCTGTACTTTTCCCACCAGAATTGCAGTTCCAAAGACCTTTTTTTTTTTTTTTTTCCCCAGAAACTGTGAGATTGAAAGTAATAAGTAGAATATACATACACAAATAGTGAAGACCTAAATAAAAGGTGAAAAATATTACATTAATGTATGGGAAGATTGTAAAAATGGCAGCTCTCCCAAAATTAATCTACAAATTCAGTGCCATTCCAATTTAAATTCCAATGGTATTTGTGAACACTTGACAAACTGTTTCTATAGTTCACATAAAATAACAACTACATGATAATGAGATAAAATTTTGGAAAAAAGAAGAATGAGGGATGTGCCCTGCAACATAAGGTTGTTATAAAAAACTAGGCATGTAGGAAATGACAGCACACACATTGCCTCATTACAATGAAATAAAAACATAATTTTTTTTGAGAAAAAAGAAAGCTAGAAATCCTCAACATGAAGCATCACACTAACTACTGAGTCAAAGAAGAAATATAAGTTATAATCAAGCATCTTTAACAAACAACAAAACAAGAATACTACATAGGAAATTCAGCCAATACTATCAATAAATTCTCGTATTATAAAATAATGAAAAAGAATTATTCTTAGTAAACATAACAAAAATAATGAGAGGAGTGAAAAGGGGCGGAAACAAATATGTGAATTATTAATGGCTCCCAAATCCCAAATTTGATCAAAAATATTAACATGTGCAAGGAAGGCTGGGCGCAGTGCCTCACACCTGTAATCCCAACACTTTGGGAGGCTTAGGTGGGTAGATCACGAGGCAAGAGTTTGAGACCAGCCTGGCCAACAGGGTGAAATCCTGTCTCTACTAAAAATACAAAAATTAGTCGGCATGGCCACAGGTGCCTGTAATCTCAGCTACTTGGGAGGCTGAGGCAGGAAAATTGCTTGAACCCAGGAGGTAGAGGTTGCAGCAGTGAGCCAAGACCGCACCACTGAACTCCAGCCTGCGCGACAGAGCAAGACTCCATCTAAAAAAAAAAAAAAAAAAGTATATATATATATATATATATATATATGTGTGTGTGTGTGCAAGAAGACCAACAAATGCCAAAAAGAGTAAACTCTGGCAAGCTAAGGTGGGCAGACTGCTTGAGCCCAAGAGTTCAAGATCAGCCTGGGCAACATGGCAAAACCCTGTCTATACCGAAAAAAATACAAAAAGTAGCTGGGCGTGGTGGTATACATCTGTAGTCCCAGCTACTCAGGAGGCTGATGTGGAAGGATCACTTGAACCAGGGAGGTGGAGGTTGCAGTAAGCTGAAATTGTGCCACTGCACTCCAGCCTGGGCAACAGAGCCAAACCCTGTCTTAAAAATAAATGAATAAACTCAAAGACATTCAAATTTACAAATAGTAGTAAAATTATCAAAGCCAGACTTCAGAAAGAGAATTTTGAAAGCAGCAAGAGAAAAACTCATCACACTTAACTGATCTTCAATAAGATAATAGCTGACTTCTTATCATAAATGGAGATCAGAAAACAATGGGATAATATATTCAAACTGCTAAAGTAAAAAGAATGCCAACCGCAAATTCTGTATCTAGCAAAACTATCCTTCATAAACAAAGGAGAAATTATGGCATTCACAGACTCACAAAAATTAAAAGAATTCAATGCTAGGAGACCCTACAAGCAATACTAAAGAAAGTGATTCTGAGAGAAATGAATGAATACTAGACAGTAACTCAAATGCATGAAAAATTAACAGCACCACTAAAGGTGATTACATAATTATAAAAAACAGAATAGATCTATTTGTGTAACATTTTTCTTCACAGATCTATCTTAAAAGACAACTGGATAAAGAAATAATGACAAAATGTGTTGACATGCCTATATTGTATACAGATGTAATTGGTATAGTAATAATAGCACAAAGGAGAGTGAGGAAATGGAAATACGGTGAAGCAAATTTCCTGTTATTGAAACTAAGTTGATATTAATCTGAAGCCAAATATTTCAAGGTAAAATGTTAATTGTAATATCAGGGAAAACACTGAAAACGAAAGTAAACACAAAAAATACATTAAAAAATGAGTGGGAGGAGGGAATTAAAATGGTACCCAATAAAATAGTTATTCAGATTAACAAGGCACAAAAAAGGCTGACAGTTAAAAAATTGAAAAAAGATATACCAGGTAAGCAGAAATCAAGGGAAAGTTGGAGTAGCTTTAATAATGTGACAAAATAAAACAAAAAATAAAATTTGCCAGGCATGGTGGCTCATTCCTGGAATCCCAGCACTTTGGGAGGCTGAGGCGGATTGAGCACTTGAGTCTGGAAATTCGAGACCAGCTTGGGCAACATGGTGAAACTCTGTATCTACAGAAAAATACAAAAAAAACTGCTGGCTGTAGTGGCATATGCCTGTAGTCCCAACTACTCAGGAGGCTAAGGCACTGAGTTGGAGACATCAATACACTTTCAAAAATAGAACTAGGCAGAAAAATAAGAAAATAGAAGACTTAAACAACACAACCATATCACCTAATAAACACACATAGAAAATCCTTCCAACAACCACAGTATATACATTATTCTCAAGTGTACATGGAAGCTTCAACACAGACCATATGCTAAGTCATAAAACAAGTCACAATTAATTTAAAAAATTGAACTCATATAAAGTATGTTCTCCACAATGAAATTAGAAATCAATTTAAAAAAAGCTATTTGGGGAATTCACGAATATGCAAGACAGGTGCTGTGGCTCATGCCTATAATCCCAACACTTGGGAGGCTAAAGTGGGAGAATTCCTGGAGCGCAGATGTTCAATATCACTGTGGAAAAAATGGTGAGACCCTGTCTCTACCAAAAAAAAAAAAAAAAAAAAAAAAAAAAGATAGATCTAAGTGTGGTGGCACATGCCTGTAGTCCCAGCTAATCAGGAGGCTGAGGCAGGAGGATCACTTGAGCCCAGGAGGTCAGGGCTGCAATGAGCCATGACTGCACCACTGCACTCCAGCCTGAGCAATAGAGTGAGACTCTGTCTCAAAACAAACAGACAAATATGTGTAAATTAAACAAGAAACTCCTAAATAACCAATGGGTTAAAGATGAGATCACAAAAATGATTAGAAAATACTTTGAGATGAGTGAAAATGTAACAAAACATGAAATTTATGGAATGCAGCAAAAAAAGTGCTTATAGGGAAAAGTACAACTGTGATCACCTACATTAAAAATGAAGATCTCAAATAAATAATCTAAACTTCCAATTTGAGAAATTAGGAAAAGATCAAACTAAAAATTGATTAGAGGCCAGGCACAGTGGCTCACACCTGTAATCCTAGCATTTCGGGAAGCTGAGGCAGGCAGATTGACTGAGTTCAGGAGTTCAAGACCAGCCTGGGCAACACAGTGAAATACCGTCTCTACTAAAATACAAAACATTAGCCAGGCATGGCGGCATGTGCCTGAAGTCCCAGCTACTTGGGAGGCTGAGGTAAGAGAACTGCTTGAACCTAGGAGACAAAGGTTGCAGTGAGCCAAGATCATATCACTGTGCTCCAACCTGGGTGACAGACCGAGACTCCGTCTCCAAAAAAAAGAAAAAAAAAAAAAAAAAGATTAGGACAAAGAAAATAATAAAAAATTAGAGTAAATAAAAAAGTAAATAAAGTAAAAAAGTAAATAAAAAGACCAGATGTGGTGGCTCATGTCTGTAATCCCAGTACTTTCAGAGGCTGTGGTGGGAGGATCACCTGAGGTCAGGAGTTCGAAATCAGCCTGGCTAACATGATGAAACCCCATCTCTATTATAAATACAAAAAATTAGCTGGGCATAGTGGCACACACCTGTAATCCCTGCTACCTAGGAGGCTGAGGCAGGAGAATCACTTAAACCTGGGAGGTGGAAGTCACGGTGAGCCAAGATTGCACCATTGTACTCCAGCTTGGGCAATGAGAGTGAAATTCCGTATCAAAAAATAAAAAATAAATAAGCTGGGCATGGTGGCTCATGCCTGTAATCCCAGCACTTTGGGAGGCCAAGGTGGGCGGATAACAAGGTCAGGAGTTTAAGACCAGCCTGGCCAACATGGTGAAATCCCATCTCTACTAAAAATACAAAAAATTAGGGATGGTAGCAGGTGCCTGTAATCCCAGACACTCAGGAGGCTGAGGCAGGAGAATCACTTGACCCTGGGAGGTGGAGGTTAGAGTGGGCCAAGACTGCACCACTGCACTCCAGCCTGGGCAACAGAGAGAGACTCCATCTCATAAATAAATACCGGAAAATCAAGGAAAGCAAATGTGGTTCCTTGAAATAATTTTTAAAATGAGCAAATCTGTAGCTAGACCAAAGATGAAAAAGACAGAAGACACAAATATAATCAGAATTAAAAAGATACTATTACCATTGTTATAGGAAAATAAAAAAATTAGGAATAACCAAAAATAGTATACCAATTAGATATCTTGTACAAAATGTTTATGTTCCTAGGATAACACAAACAACCAAATCTGACAAAGACAAAAAACGTGAATACTTATAAAAACAGATTGAATAGTTAATATACGAAATTCCCATAAAGAAACATTCACGAACAGATCACTGATGATTCTGTCAAACATTTAAGGAATAAACATCAGTTACTTACATAATTTTTCAAAAAAATTTTATAAGAGGAAACACTTCCCCAATAAATTTAATACATGATAGTTACATATACACGTTATTTATAGAACAAAGATAAAACCTCATGATTGTGTCAGCAGACATAAAAAAAGGCATTTGACAAAACTTATTTATAATTTTAAAATCCTCAACAAACTAGGAACAAAGGGAGATATCTATATTTGACAAAGGCTATCTACAAATACTATATAGCTAGCTCTGTGAACTTGCACAAGTAAAAGAAAAAAAAAAAAAAACAACATACAGCTAACATCATTTAATGGTCAAAATCTATTGCATTACCCTTGGTCAGAAATAAATCAAGGATGACTGCTCTTGCTACTTCTGTACAGGTTTTCACCATTGTGATTAGGCAGGAAAAAGAAAGTTTAAAGATCAATGCAATTGGAAAGAAAGTACAATTATCTATATTCATAGGTGACATAAACATAAAAACCCCCAAAAAATCCACAAAAAATGCTAATAGTGAAACTATTAGAAAACCTTTTCCAATGAATTCAGAAAGACTGAAAGATACAAGATCAACAGAAAACTAATTTTATTTTAATATACTAGCAGTGAACAATCCAAAATTAAAGTTAAGAAAATAATTCCATTTTCAATATTATGAAAAATAAAATGAATGGAAAGGTATCTACTGTTAATAGATTGGGAGGATTAATATTGCTAACATGGCAATACTCTACAAATTGATCTACAGATTAAATGCTCTCCTTAGCAAAATTCTGGCAATTTGTAGAAATTTACAAGCTGATCCTAAAATTCATATGGAAATTCAAAGCCTTCAGAAGAATCATGAAAAGGTCAAAGCAAATAACAAAGCTGGAGAACTCATACTTCCAGGTTTTGAAATTTACTCCAAAGCTACAATAATCAATTCTGTGTGGTATAGGCATAAGGATAGACATAGATATAAATGAAATAAAATTTAGAGTCCAAAATAAACTCTTATATTTAGAAATAACTGATGTTCAACAAGGGTACCAAGACAATTCAATGGTGAAGTAGCCTTTTCAACAAATGGTGCTAAGAAAACTGGATATCCTATGCAAAAGGAGTAAGTTAGACTTCTTCCTTAAACTATATACAAAAATAAATTCCAAATGAATCACACACCTAAATGTAAGAGCTACAACTTATGTCAGGTAATGGTTTCTTTGTTATGACGCTAAAATCACAAGTAACAAAAAAAAAAAAAAAGATAAATTGGATTTCATCAATATTAAAAACTTCAGTGCTGTAAACAATGTCATCAAAAAAGTAGAATGGCAATACAAAGAATGGAAGAAAATAATTGCAAATCATATATCCAATAATGGTCTGTTATCCAGATTATATAAAGAATTCTGATAACAACATGACACATAACCCAATTCTAATGAGCAAAGGATCTGAATAGACAATTCTCCAAAGATATACAAATGACCACTAAGCAAATGAAAAGTTGCTCAATGCAGAAATACAAGTCAACAGCACAATGAAATATTTCATATCCACTAGGTGGCCATAATTTTAAAAGGCAGAAAACAAGTGAGAATATGAATAAATGTAATTCCTCATATTGCAGATGAAAATATAAAATGGTGCCAGCACTTTATTAAAATCTGTTAATTACCCACAACGTTAAACCTAGACATGCCATGACAAAGCAATTATACTGCTTAATGTATACTCAAGAAAAATGAAAACACGCCCACATAAAAAGTTGTACATGTTTTTAGCACCATTCTTAAAAGACAACATCTGTAAATGCAAACATCTGTCAAATGATGGATAAACAAAATGAGATATACCCATACAGTGAAAAATTATCAATAAAGAACAGTAATATATACCACAATCTGGATGAATCTCAAAAAAACATGGTAATTAAAAGAAGCCAATAACAAGGGTCAAAATTTGCATGATTTATTTGACTGTCCAGAATAGACAAATCCATAGGGACAAAAGGCTAAATTAGTAGTTCGCAGGGTTGGCAAAAGGGAAATGGGGAATAAGTGCTAATGAGGTGATGATGAAAATGTTGTAAACTATAATAGTGGCAATGGTCGCACAGCTCTATGAATATACTAAAAGTCACTAAACTTTAAAATGGTGAACTTTATATTATATTAATTATATCACAAGTTCTTTTTTACAAAGGAAGGTTATTACCTTATCCAGTGTATATTGCTTAGCAGGATTGCTGAGATAGGCGTTCCTACTCTAAAGCATTTACTCTTATTACAAATTTGAAATACCATTTGTTAACTGTAAAACCACTGGCAAGTTGGCCCCAAGTAATGTTTACAGTATATTGACCATGAGTGAAGGTAGAGGATTTGTACAAGCACCTAGCTACTCAATACATGTAGATACAAAATAAAAACAAATAAGCAAATGTTGGGGAAAGTAAAGGAATACCACATGGTGATTAGTACTATAAGTGAAACATTTTCATCGAACAGAACTTGTAAGTTTGCCAGTGACGCCATGAAGTCAAAAGATCCCATAATACTGTTGGGTTAAATAATAATCTAATAGAGGAGTAGCAGAGGTAAGACTGTAAAAATGAGCCACTAAAGAAACTAAAAACTAGATAAAGTTACCTTACATTCAACCATCTGTAGTGAAAAATCTTAGCAGAACCACATCTATAATACATAGGGCTTGCTGACTCAACTAGATAATATATTTTTCGTTCAAAGATTTGAAAATATAACAATATCTAATCCAATACAAAGCAGTAGAAAATATATTTTCTTACTGGTGGATAAACCCCCAAATCTACCAAAATACAGTCTCATTGGTGACTATGGTTTAAATTAATACGACTTAATAAAGGACAGCTGCCGGGCACTGTGGCTCATGTCTGTAATCCCAGCACTTTGGGAGGCCCAGGCAGGTAGATCATGAGGTCAGGGGATCAAATCTATCCTAGCCAACATGATAAAACCCTGTCTCTTAAAAAAAAAAAAAGTAAAAAAAAATAATTATATAAATAAATAAAGGACAGCAAGATAGAAGCAATGACTGCACACCATGATAAAATTTTGGAATATGTTTCTTGTTAAAGTAGTTAAGTCAAACTTTGCAGTATGACAAATCATGGGCCTGTGCTTTCATAATATGGTAAGTAACAGTATCTCAAGAACCATTTAACCTATGGTTAGCAGCTCTTAGTAGCTAACATTTCACTAAAAGCTAAGATTTTACTAACAGACAAAATTCCAGACAGCCAACTGGAATGGCAAAAGGTTAAGTGGTTAATACTATTAGAATGCACCCCCTCTAAATAGCAACGTTGAATTAAAGATAAACAATGAAGTTACACATGTAAAGCACTATCATGTGCTGAACCACCAGGTGACAACACTAAAGCGCACTACCTAAATAAATTTTGCCATGAAAAAAACTATTTTTGAGGCCGGGCACGGTGGCTCAAGCCTGTAATCCCAGCACTTTGGGAGGCCGAGGCGGGTGGATCACGAGGTCAAGAGATCGAGACCATCCTGGTCAACATGGTGAAACCCCGTCTCTACTAAAAATACAAAAAATTAGCTGGGCATGGTGGCGCGTGCCTGTAATCCCAGCTACTCAGGAGGCTGAGGCAGGAGAATTGCCTGAACCCAGGAGGCGGAGGTTGCGGTGAGCCGAGATCGCGCCATTGCACTCCAGCCTGGGTAACATGAGTGAAACTCTGTCTCAAAAAAAAAAAAAAAAAAAGAAAAAAACTATTTTTGAAATCAAAAATGAGATGAGAATGAAAATACTGTGAAGTATACAATAGGAGTTGCTAGAGAACACCAGCAAAGCTAAACCATCACTCATTACTACATCATATTTATGGAACCTAGATGACCATTTAAAAAAAATAAAATTAAAAACCTTGGAAGACAGAGAACAACTATATGACAAGTACATTGATACATATGTTTTTCAGTACACAACAGGACTTACCACAGGCCATGTGCTTACTGGGGTACATTTAACAAAAGTCTGAACTAACTGAAATAAAAGTACAACACATAGGCCAGGTGCAGTAATTCCAGCACTTTGGGAGGTTAAGGTGGGAAAACCAGTTGAGCGCAGGACTATGAGACCAGCCTGGGTCACATAGCAAGACACTGTCTCCGATAAAATAATAAAATAAAATAGCTGGGCTGGTGGTGCACACCTGTAGTCTCAGCCACTCAGGAGGTTGAGGTAGGAGGATGGCTTGAGCCCAGGAGTTCGAGGCTGCAATCAGCTATAATTACTCCATTGCACTCCAGTTTGGGTGACAGAGAGACCTTGTCTTAAAAAAATAAAAAAGCACAATAGTACTTTTAAAAACATGTGAAATACCAATACTTATAAGTTTTGAAACAGTAATATATTAAGGCTTTAACAGTAAAATATAATCCACAGACATGAGGTCAACTTAGTTAGGAGAAACAAACTAACACCGGTGCCTGATGAAGATAAACAGTATATACTTAGTATTATGGTAAAAATAAAGCAGAACCATGTAGCTAATAATACTACTGAATTAAACAGGAAATTGTACATCAACACACTTACTAGACAATATTAAATACCTATGCACTCTATAAGCCAGGAACTGTAACCAGAAAAATGCAAAAACTACATCATGCACCTGTGGAAATCCTTAAACATAGCACAGTAATTAGGTTACCATATTAGTAGTCACTCTAGAGAAACCAAATTAGTGATGCAAGCTATGCAACTAACATCATTTCAGGACAATGCATTGTGGACTAAGGTGGTACTACAGAATATCCACAAATTCTTTGAGTCCACAAGGTAACAACACTGGGCACACTTCTGACAATACAACGGAAATAAAACTATGTCAAAGCATATAAACTAGTACTTGTAACAAGTCAAAAAAAAAAAAAAAGATGCAGATATCCATGAAAATCTTCAAATTTATTTTTGGCTCACTAGCACAGCACCAGGGTACTCTGTTAATATCCCTATCAGAAACAAATCCATGATAACTAGCATCCAACATCATTTCAACATTTTATGGACTAATGGAAGTACTCTATTTTCCACCAAAAATTACTTTATGTACACAAGGAGGCCACAATGAACATACTTCCCGAAAATAAGGGAAACAAAATAAAACAGAAATGGAGGAGAGGGAATCCTTCCCAAATCATTTTATGAGACAAACATCATCCTGATACCAAAACACGGCAGAGACTCAACAAGAAAAGAAAACTTCAGGCCAATATTCATGATGAACATAGATGCAAAAATCTTCAATAAAATACTGGCAAGCTGACTGCAACAGCACATCAAAAAGCTTATACACCATGATCAAGTAGGCTTCATCCCGGGTATGCAAGGCTGGTACAACATACACAAATCTATAAACATAATTCATCACATAAACAGAACCAAAGACAAAAACCACGATTATCCCAATTGATGCAGAAAAGGCCTTTGACAAAATACAACAGCCCATTATGCTAAAAACCCTCAATAAACTAGGTATTGACGGAACGTATCTAAAATAATAAAAGCTATTTACGACAAACCAACAGCCAATATCATACTGAATGGGCAAAAACTGGAAGCATTCCCTTAGAAATCTGGCACTAGACAAGGATGCCCTCTATCACCACTCCTATTCAATACAGTACTGGAAGCTCTAGCCAGAGCAATCAGGCAAGAAAAAGAAATAAAGGGTATTCAAATAGGAAAGGAGTAAGTCAAATTGTCTCTATTTGCAGACGACATGATTGTATATCTAGAAGTCCCCATTGTCTCAGCCCAAAATCTCCTGAAACTGATAAGCAACTTCAGCAAAGTCTCAGGATACAAAGTCAATGGGCAAAAATCACAAGCATTCCTATACACCAATAACAGACTTAAGGAGAGCCAAATCAAAAACAAACTGCCATTCACAATTGCTACAAAGAGAATAAAATACCTAGGAATACAACTAACAAGGAACGTAAAGGACCTCTTCAAGAAGAACTACAAGCCACTGCTCAACAAAATGAGAGAGAACACAAACAGACGGAGAAACATTCCATGTTCATGGTTAGGAAGAATCAATATCGTGAAAATGGCCATACTGCCCAAAGTAATTTACAGATTCAACGCTATTCCATCAAGCTACCAATGACCTTCTTCACAGAACTGGAAAAAACCACCTTAAACTTCATATGGAACCAAAAGAGAGCCCGCATAGCCAAGTCAATTCTAAGCAAAAAGAACAAAGCGGGAGGCATCACACTACCGGACTTCAAACTATACTACAAGGCTACAGTAATCAAAACATGGTACTGGTACCAAAACAGAGATATAGACCAATGGAACAGAACAGAGACCTTGGAGACAACACAACATATCTACAACGATCTGATCTTTGACAAACCTGAAAAAAACAAGCAATGGGGAAAGGATTCCCTGTTTAATAATTGGTGTTGGGAAAACTGGCTAGCCACACGCAGAAAGCAGAAACTGGACCCCCTCCTGATGCCTTTCACTAAAATTAACTCCAGATGGATTAAAGACTTAAATATAAGACTGAACATCATAAAAACCCTAGAAGAAAATCGAGGCAAAACCATTCAGGACATAGGCGTAGGCAAGGACTTCATGACCAAAACACCAAAAGCATTGGCAACAAAAGCCAAAAGACAAATGGGATCTACTCAAACTCCACAGCTTCTGCACAGCAAAAGAAACAGTCATTAGAGTGAATCAGCAACCAACAGAATGGGAAAAAATTTTTGCAGTCTACCCATCTGACAAAGGACTGATATCTAGAATTTACAAAGAACTAAAACAGATCTACAAGAAAAAAACAAACAAGCCCATTCAAAAGTGGGTGAAGGATATGAACAGACGCTTTACAAAAGAAGACATACACGAGGCCAACAAACATATGGGAAAAATATTCATCATCACTGGTCATTAGAGAAATGCAAATCAAAACTACATTGAGATACCATCTCACGCCAGTTAGAATGGCGATCATTAAAAAATGTGGAGACAACAGATGCTAGAGAGGATGTGGAGAAATAGGAACACTTTTACACTGTTGGTGGGAGTGTAAATTAGTTCAACCATTGTGGAAGACAGTGTGGCGATTCCTCAAGGACCTAAAAATAGAAATTCCATTTGACCCAGCAATCCCATTACTGGGTATATATCCAAAGGATTATCAATCGTTCTACTATAAGGACACATGCACACAAATGTTCATTGCAGCACTGTTTACAATAGCAAAGACCTGGAACCAACCCAAATGCCCATTGATGATAGACTGGACAGGGAAAATGTAGCACATATACACCATGGATTACTATGCAGCCATCAAAAACGATGAGTTCATGTCCTTTGTAGGGACATGGATGAACCTGGAGACCATCATTCTCAGCAAACTGACACAAGAGCAGAAAATCAAACACCACACAATCTCACTCATAGGCGGGTGTTGAACAATGAGAACACATGGACACAAGGAGGGGAGCACTACACACTGGTGTCTGTTGGGGGGAAATGGGGGAGGGACAGGGAGGTGGGGAGAGATAGCATGGGGAGAAATGCCAGATATAGGTGAAGAGGAGGAAGGCAGCAAATCACACTGCCATGTGTGTACCTATGCAACAATCTTGCATGTTCTTCACATGTACCCCCAAACCTAAAATGCAATAAAACAAAAAAAAAAAAACAGAAATGGGGGGAAGAGCCCTAAAGTTACAGTATTCTCCCCTCATCTATGGTTTTCTTTTACAGTTTCTGTTACCTGGGGTCAAACACAGTTCAAAAATACTAACTGGAAAATTTCAGAAATAAACAATTCATAAATTTTAAATTGAATGGTGTCCAGCAAAAAGAATCACTCCTTTTTCCAGTGTATACCCCACGTTATATGCTACCACCCATTAGTCAGTGCCCTTCTCGGTTCAGATTGACTGTTGCAGTAACAGTGCTTAACAATGGCCCCAATATAAGAATAGTGATGCCAACAATTCAGATATTCCAAAGAGAAGCCATGAAATGCTTTCTTTAGTAAAATGGTAAGTGTTTACAATGGGATAAAAAAAGTTGTATACCAAGGCTGCCTAGAGCTTTAGTAACGAATCTAAGTGCACTTTGGGATGCCAAGATAGGAGGACCATTTGAATGCAGGAGTTTGAGGAATTGTGCAGGAAAAAGAAATTCATGCTAATTTTGCTGTCAGACCTCAAACTTTGCCACAAGTATGCATGTGTAGGTAAAATCACATGGGGTTCGGTACTATCTAGTTTGACAGATCCACCGGGAGACTTAGAACCTATCCCCCACAGATAAGGAATGGAGGAAATTACTGTACTGGAAACTAGCCATTTTAATATAATTACACTGACCAATTTAAAGATGTCACTCATCTTGTTGTGGAAATAAAATGATATTATAAGTAAACAGCTTTTAACTGAATATATTTTTTGCCTCTATGGTAAGGAGATCAGAGTATGTTATGATCTTCCTACAACCAAATTTCCCATGGGAGTGGTGAACTAACATTTCTAAAAGGTCTTTTAGGTGAACTGCGTACTGCAAGGTTTCCGTAACAATGCTTCTTTCTAGTCCTTTTATTCCAACAGACTACACAAATCTGGATGGCTCCTTGGAGTTTTAAGGCTCAAGGGTGAAAAATCTAGTTTTTATGTTGTATACAGCTAATGGCAAGCCTACTAATTCACATATCACGTAACAAAAACTGAGCTATAAACAAAGAAATCATACAAGCAAAACTACACATCTGAACCTACTACAATAGCTAAAAATTACAATCCCCTCAAAAAAGCTACACTATTAATGTTGGCTCACTAATAGAACAGCAAACTAGATTGCTACTGGAGTAATAATCTCTGAAGGGAAATGTTACTAATGCCACTATCACAAACTATAAACAATTACTAGCAAATTTCCATTATCACTGCTTAGCGAGACAGGAATTCCCAAAATTTAGAAGTTCATGATAAACAGATTGGGAAGGCAATGCAGGTATCAGGAAGTAGCCCTTCTAATAGATCAAACAATGGTAATACACTATTAGGCCTCAAAATCCTACCAGAATATTCTTTTAAAATATTTAAATATATGAATAAAGGACACTTAACAATTATAAAATACACTAGTGACTATGAATGGAAGTGTTGGATAGTAATACTAGAAAAAAATTAGGGAACAATTTCAGATATGTGCAATTCTGCCAAGGGCATAACCATGTGGCCAAAATTCATACTACACATCTCTCATATCAAGTTACTTCACAAGACAGCACCAAATCTAATAATTCGTTCAAAAAGTAGAGTTGACCATCGCTTCTACAGGGCCCTTTAATTTTAGAGGGCCTTAAAAAGGGCATAACTGTAATGAGACAATAGTGAACCAAAGAATTACAGTCCCAGTGTACAATAAAAAATTACATTTTAAAATTTTGAAGGTCTCTACCAATTTCAATATATTTTTGGGCAAATAGCACTGAGCCATTAAATTATAGCGCTAATGGAACCGATTTCCTATACTCATATCAATCTCCAACCATCTATATCAGCAAAATGCTATACTGCATGGTACAAATTATGCACCTAGAACTTGTGATTAGACATCAACTGTCCAGAATTCCACAATGAATCCAGAAAGGCCCAATACATTACAACCTATGAAAACTGAACACTATTAACCTAGAGTTACTGGGATTGAATGGCCAGATGAGAACCAAGAGAATCTAGCAAATATTTCTGACTAAATTCACCCATACTATATATACTTTGACTTGTCAAAAGTCCTTGTAAAAACTACTTTTGTCTGTAGGACAAGAATGATATTCCTATTACTTAGGAGCAGATACAGATTCTGAAATTTGGATTCTACGCCACCAGCTAAAGAGGATGCTGTGTAGACAAACTTAGTACATAATTTCCAATTGATTTATTACCAAGATCCTGAAGAACCACCAAATTAAAAATGTTAAGATTACAAACATGATAGAAAAATACATGCTAACAATACAGGGGAGAGAGCTCTAAAAGTACTTGCAAATGACAATGGTAAGAAATCAAATTTGGTTATGAAACATTCAAGCTAAAGGACCAAAAGATATTTACCTCTACACTTACAGCAAAAACGTTGGTTGCTTCGTCAAATGTCTTTTTTTCCTCTGCTACTTGTAAAAGCGTCTTTAAAAATGTCTTTTTTATTGAATGATTGATTTCCAATGTTGCTGAAGTGCTATACTAAGAGGAATTTCTTCATTCATAAATTCAATTTATAAAGGGCAACATTGTGAGGGCAAATAAAGCACTACTGAAGAGTCAGAATAATTTGTGAAAAATACATCACAAAATTTTGCATTTAGACATGTGAAAAATATGGGCAATAAGATACTACTTAACATTGCCAAAAATTCATGACTCCCCTCGCCAATCCCTACCCCCAAGAAAAAGTACCCAGGTACTAAACTTATGGAAATACATGTCATTGAATAGTTCCTTTAAAGCCTTTAATATCAGCTGGAAAGAACTGAGGAATCCTAATTAAGCTGAAAAATACACAAGAAATGTGCACATAATGCACTCTCTAAAGGGGCAACAGAGTGGACAGTCAAGGAACTCCACATATTCAGTGCTATTTGCAAGCCTGTAAGCAGCATCTACAAATAAAAAGTAGCTGGCTGAAGTTATAGGCTGATATTACACATTAGTAACACAACGTGATCACACAAATTTGGCAAAAATCTAAGGAAGTTTGAGGTGAATCGATTTGACAAAATGGATGTAAAACATGTCAGATAACAAAGGCTACATTAGGGACTACAGATTTGCACATCAGTGGTTCACCATTTCAAAAACAAGTAGCAAATCTTTAATTTTATTGAGCAAATTGATTGTACCAAATATCAATTAGCACAGAATGGAAACATCCCCACTAGGTAACTTCAGTTGGCAAATGTAATTAGACATTGCACCAAAACAACAAAAACAAAACCAAAAACAAACAAAAAAACCCTAAACACGATTCGCCTATCACTATGTATATGTAAGCAAGCATGAACAATATCTCTAACAATTAATCTTGTTCCCCATTTTGTCCTGAGAAACCAAAATTGGAATTTCAATTATACACAGATTAAAATACTCCATTTGCTGAGTTTCGCTGCTAATTGGATGTTACATCCAATTTGAAAAACCAGGGCAGGTGCCATGGCTCATCCCTGTAGTCTCAGCACTTTGAGGAGCCCAGGTGGTAAGACAGCTTGTGCGCAGGAATTTAAGACCATCCTGGGCAACGTAGCAAGAAAACCTTGTCTCCACACAAAATATAAAAAGTAATCAGGGAAGCCAGAAAATAGGGTAGCACTTTTTTATCCTACTTCGGGACAGCAATAATCTGGGAGTGGATGTTGACAATGCAACTGCAAAGCAGCATATATCAACATGTATAAAAGAGGCAGGAGGAATTTTTTTTTTTTTTTAAGACAGTCTCACTGTGTTGCCCAGGTTGGAGTGCACTGGCACGATCTCGGCTCACTGCAACCATCACTTCCCAGGTTCAAGCAATTCTCCTCCTTCAGCCTCCCAAGTAGCTAGGACTACAGGCAATGGCCACCACGCCCAGGTTTTTTTTTTTTAAGTAGAGATGGGGTTTCACTATGTTGGGCAGGCTGGTGTTGAACTCCTGACCTCATGACCTGCCCTTCCTAGCCTCGCAAAGTGCTGGGATTACAGGTGTGAGCCACCACGCCTGGCTGCAGATGGACGATTTCAAAGGGTTCTGGCATTAGCTTCTCTTCAAGAAGCCAAAGTATTACTAAGGCATTCATTAAAAACGGCTAAGGGAAGTTATATTACTAATTTTGGGTTTCAGTCTGTTAAACCTTAGTTTTATGAAACTGTGTCCTAGGAAGTATGTTTGAAATTAGTTAAGTGGATACTAATAACATTAGGTCCCTTAACCCAGTAGTGGTTAACTCGGAATATATAACCCCGTCTACCAAGTAAATGGTTCAGAACCACAGCAGAAAAACCCCAGTTGACTAAGAAGCACAAAAAAAAAAAAAAAAAAAAAAAAAAAGCTAACAGCTTCATGCCCACTTGGAAGATGACGGTCCTTGGAGCTATCATCTTGCCAGTGGGTGGAGATTCTATTGTACAGATATGGTTCCCATAGAGCAGGGATACTATGGTGCCAGACAAAACTTTATCAGCATCTTTCCAGAGAGCAAGTAATTTGAAGATAGGCACTAATACCATAAAGAACTCCACCTTTTTAGGATTCAGGAACCGTTATGTATTGGTTGTGATAGTAAACTACCATCTAAAATTTTCCTGCTTAGTTCAATCTAGGTGATACTTCATTAATGCTGTAATTCTGATTTCTTATTACCAGTTGATATAGGAGACATTTCACAATATACTGACAGGTTGTTGAAAGCCCCTTTCTATGGATAGAAGTTATGATAAGCTATATAGAGACCTATGCGTTTCCAGATTAAATGCTTTAGTCCAGTGTAGGGAGGAATCAATGAAAGTGAACTAACCTTAACTTCCAACGATGAAAAATCTTCTGTGCTGCAACATGAGGTTCCTTAACATCACTGAAATGGTGAACCAGAGAAATGTATCCACGAATCCCACCCATACTCCAAGGACACAGAAAAAAGTATTTATTCCCCCCCTTGTGGAAAGTGTAGTTTGTAGTTCCCTCATGCATAAAATCCAAAGTATTTTGCTTTAAAATGCTATTTTGTGTGCTGGATCTAAATCTGAAGATGAGTTAAGCTGGTTATATATTCATATTATGATATAAATTATATTGTATATATATATTCATAAGCTGTCAGTATGTTACTCTTAAAGCTTAAAATAAGCCAAATCATTCTTTTCTTGACTACTTTTAACATGTAGTTGATGCTAGGATTTGAACCAGTAAGTGCAAAGAAAGCTTTCAGGGCCCTAAAAACTAAGTACAATAAGCACCTCATAAAAAGGACAGATAATGCAATATAGAGTACTCAATGCAAGGTGCACTGGCCAATTCAGCTGGCAGTGATCCAAGATTACCTTTCTCAATGTCTGTTGGCATCACAGAGCTCCTTTGGCTACGTGTACCACAAGCAAAAGGCACTACAACCATCAGGCTCATTCCTCCTCCCGATGAAAGCACTGGTATTCTTTGTTGTCTTCATTGAAAACCTTTTGCAGACATTCTTGAGGTTGATACCCAAAACCATCCTTCTGGGTCAAAATCATATCACTACATGCTTTACTACCTGCTCTGGTCCTAACATAAGGTATGGAATCTGTTAAATCGTTTTGGAGTCCCATCCAAGATCTCCTAACTCTGAGTAGCACACGTAGTTAAAAAATAGAATGCAGTGAGTCCCTAAGATGAACATGAAGAGCTTAGCATAGCCGTATCTGTCTCAGCAGTCTTCTGATCCTGTCAAGCAGAAGTTGGTGAAAAGCACAGCTAACCCAAAGCTAACACTTTTAGTCCCATCCCAAGGAACCCATGGAATTTCATAAATACGTATTATTAGGTCACCAAGGGCTTTGCCTACATGTTGCAGTGTTCCCTGGGGAACAAATATACAGTGCTGGTTCCTATCATCTTGTCAAGGCATTCTCATCACTTTTGAAGAACACTGGTTTCCTGTATCAGGTGAATATAGTTCCAGGATCAATAGAACTTCTCAGTAAGTTAACTTTTCTTAACTGTATCTTCAAGCGTAAAACATGGAATATAGGAAATGCTTAAAGCCAACTTGCTGAACCAGATGACTTCTAATGTCTGTAGTTGTGTTTGCTGCTTAAATGTCCTGTACTTACCAAACACTAAGATTACTTGGAACATGTGAAATCCACAAGAAATCTTTAGAAATATACATAGCTCAATCCCCATTTTAGCCCCTCTGCCTCTCTCCCATCAATCCAAAAACTGAATAGAATAATAAGTACTCAGAAAACACTGACAGGACACAGGCTGGCCCATCAACCCCAACATGGCACTAGAAGCCAGGGAAGGGCAGGGAGGAAACCTGAATGTAATGGTGACATTACAAGTTGGTACTTCTATATAAAGATAGTCCATAAACTTCATTTTCAACATACTGAGCAGGTTGAAAGTAAAATAGTAAAGCTGCAAAGTAGTAATATTTTTCAAAGTCACTGCTAATAATCACAATGGTTGCTTGTCAGGGCTTGGTAGTAGAGCTGCAGCCATTACTGACTTTTAGGGCACATGATCAGTTACAAATCACTGTCCCCTGATTCTTACAGGATATGCACCCTTCCCTCCATCCTGCCCCAAACGCCTTCTCTGATGCTCCCCATCACGCAGACACCACAGCCCCATATCACAAGAAACCATCCGTTCTATATAGTTCTTATGGCCTAAACCAACTGGTCCCTCACACAGTGTTTGAATTCACCCAGAGCATGAACAATTGCTAACCCTCAAAATACATGAAACCAGCAAAAGGGGGTAAAAGTAGGGCTATGACTCGAAACGAGATGGGGGCAGACTTGGGGGTGATGTGATCACATTTCTTCTCGGACTGATGATCAATTTCTTCAAAGCACTATGCAGTTTTTTCCTTCTTTGAAACAGACTCTAGGTGGACCCTCCATCCCTTCCCCTCTTTCCCTCCTCTCCCAAACCCTCAGGAATAAAATCCCTAATAACATCAACAATTATATTACAGGAAATGTTTACTAGTTATACACTATCCCACTCTTACTTTTTATTTCCCTTTTGTTATATAATAAATGAGAAGCCAAGACCCTAAAACGTCTTAAACTCCAAAAACAAAGTACTCGAAGGGCACGTGCAGTTGGTTTGAGTTTTCAATCTAGCCTGGGGAAGTACAGACAAGCCACCCCACATCCAACCCCACATCTCAATGTTCAAACCTAAAAATTGATGGGTATAATCAGAGTAATGAAGTAGTCATCTATTAAGCTCTAGTATTTTATAGATTATGGACTTGTATTTCACCTTTCAAACCACATGTCCCTTACCTTAAGGCTCTGGAGAGGTACTGTCAAACTCAAAACAACTCTGGCAGTAGCAGCAGCCCCAAAGGACTTGGATCAATATTTTGAAGATGAAGGTCTTCCAAATAAGCAGCAGGTTGTCCATCATGAAAAAGTCTAATGCCAAATGAGTTCTTCTTCTACCGTCCTGCCCTCAGGACATGAGGATATCATTTAAAGTTTGATATAAGGCAACATGAGGCATCCAATGCCCGAGTAAAAGGGAATATAACCCCTGATATTTAAGAATGCACTGGGGCCAGGGTAAAACAAAGTGACTTCTTGGACAGGGTAACTTAATTCTATAGGCAATATGAAAATTAAGAGGTCATTGGTGATATGGACAAAGGCTAAAGGTAAATAGGGGAAAGCTACAAAGGGCTCCCTAAATCACTCGTGATCACCTGCTTAGTAAGTCATATACTTACTAAGTATATGCTTCTGCTAGGCAACTATTGGGAAATTTATCCATACTTCTCATTCTTTAATATGTGTTAGTATATACTAAACAATTCAAAGCTTTCTTTGAACTATAAGATGCCATGAATTAAGCCTTCAAATTTAAATTGGAACTGGAAGGGATTCTGATCCTGTTAAAATTATTTTCTCTCCAATTACATTTATCTGTACAATGTACATTAATAATTAATTTATTAGAGGATTAATATCAATAATTAACTTGTTAGAGGATCCAGGAAACAATATCTGTAAGGCCCAGCGCAGCTCATAATAAATAGAAATGCAGACGTAAGATGTTCAGTTTTGGAAGAGTAAAGCTATGCTTTCTTTAAAATCAAACAATTGCACAATACATTATAGCCTACAACTTACTCTGTAGTTCAAAAAAACACTTTCCCCCATTACAGAAAGACAGCCCTCCTCCCAGCAACATTCCAGACTGGATAGATTGATTCTTCACCTGACATAACTCCAAAATCCTCATTGAACAAGACAGGAAGTCAAATTGAGGCTGAAGACCTCAAAGTATAGGGGACTAAACCTGCAAAGTAGTATCTGTAGCAAAATAGTTGACCTGATGGGAGGTTGGCTCCCAAGAATCTTTCTGTCCTTGTAGCCAGATAAAGTAATCAAAGGGTAATCCTCTACGTGGAAGCCAGAGCCAGTGTAGTACTTAGGAACAAGTCTCATGTTAAACGGCTTCTTCCATGGAGTGTGGTTAATGTGCAAAAACATGACTACAATAAGGTTGTTAGAACAGACTCACCATAACAGGAAACACCAGAGAGGTCAAGGGTATCTAGGAAAGTCCAAACATGATGATGTAATACAAATAGAGCAATTAAGAGGTTACATTCTTGCATTATAAGAAATGAGGTTTCAAAGAGAAAGTCTAGAATTTACTGGCTGGCCATTCTTGTCCAGTTCTGAACTTCTATTGGTTTGATGACCTCTTTGAAATGCATTAAAAATAACATTAACATTAGTGTTGGTGAGATGAGTATATCAATTAGAAGAACCTGTAGGTTTGGCTATCCCTAAAACAAGTCAACCTTAGGAAGAAGTGTAATTTAAAAAGAAAAAAAAAAAAAAAAAAGAAAAAAAAAAAGGACATTTCTTCCTAAGGTGGCTTTAAAAAAAAAAAAAAAAGAGTGTGAGAGAGAGAGAGCGAGAGAGAGCGAGAGAGATTCTTGTTATGTTGCCCAGGCTGAAGTGTAATGGCTATTCACAGGCATGATCTCACTACTGATCATCATGGGAATTTTGACCTGCTCCATTTCCAACCTGAGCTGGTTCACCCCTCCTCAGGTAACCTGGTGGTCCCCTGTGCCAGGGAGGTCACCATATTGATGCCAATTGGCATAGCTCACTACAGCTCAGAGCTCCTGGGCTCAAGCAATCCTCCCTCCTCACCCTTTCAAGCAGCTAGGGCTACAAGCACATACCTCCAAGCCCAGTAAAAATAGCCTTTTTAGAAGTCATTTCCAAATGAGGTTATTGTTCCTGTCAGGTTTGAAAAACATGTGGACACAATGGTCACATCCAGGTGTGTACTAGAGAGGCGCTGCAGTGAATCCTACCTACCTGTGCTATTAAATTTTCAGATTATGTATCCTTGGCTGATCTTCCTAGGAGCACAGTCACCACTGGATATTGAAAAGGACCTATTTTTTACCTCCAACTGAAGCATCATTGATAAAGATAATGAGTCTTCATTATGTGATACTGGGGTCTATGTTACTGACAGTAGCTGCCCTCGATTACCCCATCTGAAAAAAATAAGGATTGTTATTAGAATTTACTTCCTAAGTTAAATGCATACATAGAACAGTGTGTGACACTTAACAGTTAATGTGTGCTCAGTTAATGTTAACTACTGGGTTTTCGTTTTTTGTTTTGAAACACACTCTCACTCTCTCACCCAGTCTGGAGTGCAGTGGCGCAATCTCAGCTCACTGCAACCTCCACCTCCCGGGTTCAAGCGATTCTCATGCCTCAGCCTCCAGAGTAGCTGGGATTACATGCAAGCACCACTACACCTGGCTAATTTTTTGTAGGGTTTTGGTTTTGTTTTGTTTTCGGTATGGACAAGGTTTCACCA